GGTTCAAGCTGTCTTTGCTGGCTGTCCGCCATGGCGGGTGGGTGAAAGACCCGAGCTAACATGGTGTTAGCTCGTTAAACAACAATAAAGCCTCATGCAGTTTGCAGCAAGTTTTCAAATCTGCCCGGTGATTGGGGTGACCGAAGTCCTGGGCTGGGACCCCGGAGGAGTCTAACAACACAAGGAAAAATAAATTCAATCTTGAAAAATTAATTGTAAGATGCATAACTATTCTACACGTAGGGAAAAAATTGTAAAATACTGCTGATTTTTTACATCCTCAATTTAAACATACATTCTGATTACAGCTCTTAAAATACAAAAACGTGTATCTCATCAATAAAAAATGTCCATTTCTACCTTCAAGGCAGGCTGATAATAAATAAATAACATAAGTGTATAATCATGAATAAAATATAATTACAAATTGAGAATAGTGACATTTTAAAAACAAGTATGAGCTTTACTTCAACTTGTGTTTTAAAACATTACCTTTTTATGCTTACATTTGAAAGAAAACTCATCTCTTGTTTACAGAGTCGTGCACTTTGGACCTCAGAGCCCTGTATGTACCACCTATCCTATGTGTGGTAATGGAACATGGCAATAACACAGTCCAACAGGCAAGGATGTAAATCCCAACTCTGTTCTCTTCCTAGCTTTATAACATCCATCTTCTTCCTAGCTATGTAGTGTCAGAACTTTTGGTTGCTAAGATGTTTCATGTGTCTATGTGTATCTGTGACTATGTGTGCTGTGTAGGCATGTGCTTATGTATATCCACAAGTGTGTGGGTATACATGTGTACATGTTTACTTGTGCATGTGGAGGTCTGAAGTTGATGTCAGGTGTCTTCCCAATCACTCTCCACTTTATTTATTAAACAAAGTCTCTCGCTGAACTCAGAACTCACCAATTCCTGCTAATCTAGCTAGCAAACTTACACCAGAGATCCCCGCCATGACTGTCTGTCAAGTAATGAGATCATAGGTGACTACTGTGCCTGCCTGTTTTTCAGGTGGGTTCTGGGGATCCAGACCCCAGCACTTACACAAGTGTGGTGAGTGTTCCTTCTACTGAACCATCTCCCCAGCCCTTTTCTAGGTTTTTATAATAGAACTAAAGCTATATATCTAACAAACATCAAAAACTCCTGTCATGGACACTTGAGAAATCAAACATCTCAGCTCATTTTTAATTTACAAAAGAGTTGTAACCATAATTAGCAGCAATAATAACGCAGGGAACAAATTCCCAAGGAATGACTTTAACCCACAAATCCTAGCCTAGAGCTGTCTGGAAGCTTTGCTTCTGATCATGTCTGAAGAAAGAGAAATCCAAGTTTCATCTGTTACCAAAGATATATTTTCTCATTAACTTCCATCTTTAAGAATTTTTTACTGAGGTCCAACAGAATGATCCTACAAGTCATGATACAAGGAACATCATAAAAAATGTCAAATCCATTCTGATTTGCATATCATTTTCACTTTTTACATTACAGACAATTGAGTGGGTTTTCTTCTGGGTTCTGGAGAAAGACCCCAGTGCCTCCCACATGTTAGGTATGGGCTCTACCACTGAGCTACATCCCCACCCTGCATGGCTGCTTCTTATATTCAGCATCTTCTTGGGCTTGCTGTTTGCAGGCAACAATCATGGCCCAGCTGTCACCCCACTACAGCAGCTTTTATGATAATGCACAAGCCATTGAGATTTCATTTAAGGAAGGAGCATGTGTCCTGGCTGTTATATGAAAATCTCCACTGACACCTTCTGGGAAGGTCAGGAAACCAGTGTAGTGTGTGATTTGTTTAAATCTATGTGTAAGTCTTAAAGAGCTTTTTCAAATAAAATAAAATACAACCCTAAGAAAGCAGCATGTGACATCCCAATTTAATCGATAGCTGTA